CATGCATGAAACTTTCACGAAAAAGTACCGAATTCTGCCAATTTTTCTGCCGGAATTATCCGCATATGCCTACCGGTCACAGGAAACGTCAGGACAGATAATAACTTCGACTCCAGAACGCTAGCCAGGGCCATCACAGCTTTGACACGTTACATGCATGATAAGCAAGCAAAAAAGCATAGCGTAGGGCCCTGAGCTTCCAAGCTCTCTCGTATGCGAAGTGTATCGGGGGAATGCATTCAGTGCAGTAACATTTTGTGTGAATTTGTGTGCGAGGCCGAGATCCCACTAGCAGGCTAGCTGGGCCGCCTGTCGACCAGCCCGGGAATCACATGTAGGCCAATAGCATAATAATTATAACGTATAACTCCCTGCTATACATCTACATGACTGTATATTATACAGTCATGTAGATGTATAGCAGGGAGTCATAATATGTAAACGACTCCCTGCTGTATGGGGAGATTTTCTGGAAAGAAATACGAAGTAGGGAGACGAGTAAATGCAATCAGAATGGATGTTAGTTGCCGTCACTATAATAATAATAAGAAGAAGAACGCCCGTGATCGGCAGAGTCAGCGCCGGTCCCAGGAAACGTCAGGACAGACATCCCGTCGACTCCAGAACGCCCGTGATCGGCAGAGTCAGCGCCGGTCCCATAGCTATGCAGAAGACGTTACTTAAGTATCTCATTGAAACGTTTTTGCAATACAATGATGTAGCTGATCAAAGGAAAAAGCATTTCCATCAGTTCTAACAACATGCACGATGAGCTAGGCAACAAAGCATAGCGCAGGGCCCTGAGCTTCCAAGCTCTCTCGTTTGCGGTAAATATGCGGTGAATAATATTGTGCGGCAATTTTCTGTGAGTATGTAGTGAAATCAATCAGTTACAAGTCTCTGGTGTAAGCACTCATCATATTTGAGTAAAAAGCCGCCACGGTGAGACGTTGCTGACCGAACAGTGCACTGTGTGTACGTGTTGTGCAACAAAAAAAGTTCAAAAATCGCGGAAAACGCGGTCTTTTAAAAATCGCAAAAAACGCGGCCGCGGAATCGCAATTTTCCCCGGGGACAGTACATGCATATGTACAATGTATATCCGCTAGCAACCAATTGAAACGGAAACACTCCGTTTTGATGTTCAATTGCATGATTTATGTTTGAAATTCTCTGCTGCTTATTCGCAGTCTGCATGGTATTGTACTTGCTCTTTACTTACATGTAGAGCATCGCTGGCTACTAGCGAGGGTCCCTTGTTCGAGTCCTGGTGGTGACAGTCAATGTTTTCTTCAGACTTTTCCCGTTTGTGTCTTTCCCTCAAACCAGTGAATATTATTATTATTATCTCTCCTTTATTCACTTCTTTCGAAGGCGATAAGCCAGACCCACCGGGAAATATTTCCATGGGTGGGACAGCAAAAAGAAAGTGAAAAAACAAACAAAAATAAATAAATAAATAAAACCTAAAAACCAAAGGGACAAGAAATAGTTGAAGGAAGAGGAAGAAAGGAAAGAAACTCAATCCGAACTCCAACATCAAAACAATAATAAAGAATTTGCAGCGACAGGCAAAATACATCAACCAATGAAGGGAGTAACAAAGGAAATATCAGTCTTTATCAGTCGTTATCACTCTCTTATTATTGACCCCCACAGAAACTTGTGATCTCTAAGCGGTCAAATATGTATAGGATATTGACCAAGACGAGGCCTATATTTCCCATATAGACCGAAGTCGAGGTCAATATCCTATTTATCATGATTCCTTTGCCATAACCCCAAAATTTGAACCTTTAGGAGCTATTTTAACCTTTTTAGTATAGCATTTGTACTATACTATAGTGTACATAGGATGTTGCCAATTTTAGGTACAAGACTGTAAGAACAACAGAGTTCAGCATCTGCAGCACAGTGGCTGGGTGGTATAAGGGGTTGCTTGAGATTCATACTGTTGTGAGTTCGAATCCTGCTTGTTCTCTTCCTTTGTCTTCTTTCTTTCAATTTTTCTTTTTGAAGTGGAGAGAAAAATTCTAAGTCCCTCCAAAGTCGAAAGATTACAATGCCTAAGTGGTCGATACAAGCGGTCGATAAGCGATCGATATTGCGGCGATATGGGTAATATAGGACCAGTCAAGGATCACGAGAATTAGTGGAGGTCGATATAGAAGAGTGATAAGTATGTATTACTGCACAAGGACCAGTGCAATACCGGCCGATATCTGCACGAACGGCGAAGCCGTAAGTGCAGATATCGACGCCGGTATTGCACGCGTCCGAGTGCAGTAATACATTTATCGCACCCCTGCCACCACACAGTCTGTCACCACACACTTGACACAGTCTGGTGCAACCCTAGCATGCTGCATGCAACCCTGCTATCATTTCACAGTCATACAACACAGCACAACCAGTCGCGTTCATTTTTAGAGGAACACTTCTTTCGAGCAGCTGCTGTATTAAACACGGGAGATCCTGGAAGTAGCGGGACAGCTTGCTCATGTCGTCGTCGTTGATGGGGTGTTTGTGCTCCACCGCTTTGACTTCTCCCGCTTTCTTTGGCTTCATGAGGAAAGCCTTCAATGCAATGTTTGCGTCCTTGAACGCTGGGTCACTGTGGACGTTCATGGGCCGCTTCAACTCGACTAGCTTGCGATGTATTGCGGAACCGAAACCGAGCAAGCTTGATGCAGAGTAGAACTTCACTCCAGCTTTCTTCGGACGGAATTCGACGTATGCATGTCGCAGAATGTAAGCTAGGTCGCTTGCCGTAACCGTACTCAGGTCACAGCGACGTCCTGTGTCTTTACAATACTCGTCGAATAAGCGGAGCCATTTGTCAGTTGCCTGCTCTGTGTTTTTGTTTTTCTGCTCAGAAACGAGGCTGTCGATGGCGGCGTCGGACAGTTTTTCAAATCGGCTGTCGACAGTCTTCTCTTGGGCGTCTGCTTTCTCGACTCTCACGGAGCTTGTGAAGTTGACTTGGCGGACGCAAGCCGGGTCCACATTCGCTTCCGCGACAGCGTCCTCGACCAATTATTATTTTGGTGTGCTTGGCGGAGCGACTCGCAATATTCCCCAGTACACCGCCAGCCAATGACCAGATGACTATGTGGATGCACTGCAGTGCGATATTGCACCCCGGCGAGTGAGCGTGCAAATAACCTATATCTGCAGTGAGCGTGCAAATATAGGTTATTTGCACGCTCACTTCGAAGTGAGCGTGCAGATATAGGTTATTTGCACGCTCACTCGCCGGGGTGCAATATCGCACTGCAGTGCATCCACATTGGCCGGCGGTGTACTGGGGAATATTGCACGCTCAGTAAGGCCGCTGATTGGCTCAAACCATGGAGACACTCACGAGTGAGCGTGCAAATATAGGTTATTTGCACGCTCACTTCGAAGTGAGCGTGCAGATATAGGTTATTTGCACGCTCACTCGCCGGGGTGCAATATCGCACTGCAGTGCATCCACATTGGCCGGCGGTGTACTGGGGAATATTGCACGCTCAGTAAGGCCGCTGATTGGCTCAAACCATGGAGACACTCACGTGGGGTGCGATAATACATACTTATCACTCTTCTATATCGACCTCCACTAATTCTCGTGATCCTTGACTGGTCCTATATTACCCATATCGCCGCAATATCGATCGCTTATCGACCGCTTGTATCGACCACTTAGGCATTGCACGCGTCCGAGTGCAGTAATACATTTATCGCACCCCTGCCGCCACACAGTCTGTCACCACACACTTGACACAGTCTGGTGCAACCCTAGCATGCTGCATGCAACCCGGCTGCTATCATTTCACAGTCATACAACACAGAAAACCAGTCGCGTTCATTTTTAGAGGAACACTTCTTTCGAGTAGCTGCTGTCTATCACGGGAGATCCTGGAAGTAGCGGGACAGCTTGCTCATGTCGTCGTCGTTGATGGGGTGTTTGTGCTCCACCGCTTTGACTTCTCCCGCTTTCTTTGGCTTCATGAGGAAGGCCTTCAATGCAATGTTTGCGTCCTTGAACGCTGGGTCACGGTAGGACGTTTATGGGCCGCTTCAACTCGACTAGCTTGCGATGTATTGCGGAACGGAAACCGAGCAAGCTTGATGCAGAGTAGAACTTCACTCCAGCTTTCTTCGGACGCAATTCGACGTATGCATGTCGCAGAATGTAAGCTAGGTCGCTTGCCGTAACCGTACTCAGGTCACAGCGACGTCCTGTGTCTTTACAATACTCGTCGAATAAGCGGAGCCATTTGTCAGTTGCCTGCTCTGTGTTTTTGTTTTTCTGCTCAGAAACGAGGCTGTTCGATGGCGGCGTCGGACAGTTTCTCAAATCGGCTGTCGACAGTCTTCTCCAATACTTGGGCGTCCGCTGTCTCGACTCTCACGGAGCTTGTGAAGTTGACTTGGCGGACGCAAGCCGGGTCCACATTCGCTTCCGCGACATCGACAGCGTCCTCGACCAATTATTATTTTGGTGTGCTGCAGCAAGTCAGCAGCGACTCCCTGGCGGAGCGACTCGCAATATTCCCAGCACACCGCCAGCCAATGACTATGTGGATGCACTGCAGTGCGATATTGCACCCCGGCGAGTGAGCGTGCAAATAACCATATCTGCACGCTCACTTCGAAGCCAGCGTGCAAATCTTTACTTATAAAAGAGAGGCACCTGTGACGTGTGTCTGTGTGTGTGTGTGTGTGTGTGTGTGTGTGTCACGCTCCTTATAAAGAAGAGGCACCTGTGACGTGTGTTTTTGTGTCACGCTGAAGCGCTGCGGAGCGCTTGTGGCTCAATGTAGCTGAACCATCGGACCTTATTTGTCAGCTTGGATCACGTGATCCATCCAGCTGCCGCGTGCGGCAAACAGCCCAAATAGCGCTAACTCTGGCCTGCGAGCGTTTGCTGCGACTAGCGCGCTAGCGCTCGTGACATACACAAACGCGCTAGTCAGAATGCTTTGACTTTGATGGCTTTCAGCTTCTATTTTTTGAAAAGTAGCGCGCTCAGACCAGCTCGCTCACTCTTTTCCTCTTCCATTTTTTAGGGCAATTGTTTTGTTTGATAGACGAAGCTTAGGGTCTCTTTGGGTTTGCAACCCTTACCCTCCTGGAAAAAATCATAGTTGCTAGACTGCGACACTTCAGACCAGGTACTATTAGAGCCGCTAATGGACGACGAGCTATTTTCCGCTATCCGGAGCTCAAGCATTTGAGCCGCTAAATGGACGAGACTCCTGGGGTAAAGGATGCAGAGAATGAGGAGAAAACACTCGTATGGAGCAGGGAGTAGGTATTGTACTACTTCCTGGTATGGAGCACTGAGAAGCGGTAAGTCTTAGGGCAATTCTTAGCCAGTAATTACTTTCTCGCCATAATTATGTTCTCGTTTTTCGTGTCTTCTGTAATGCCAGTACACTAGCAGTACGACTACACTGTAGGCGAGAGTCCATAACTAAGCCAGAGTGTGCAGCTCTCCATCTATGCAGCATGAACAAATTAATGACAAATTTCCTTTGCCTAAGGGCTGGGTTCCACTGCCGCTCCGCCGCACATCATCCACGGCATGAAACGTCATCATCACGAGCTGGTCCAGCGAGGCCGCGGCTCATCACCAGCTTTCGCTTCGCTGCTTGATACAAAAAAAATGCAAGCCGCGGTCACGGCTTGCATTGTTTTCCGCACTTAATTGTTTTATTCGGGGGAATTTTAATTCGTTGCACAGGCCAGAACACGAGGATTTTTTTTGGATTTCACGCGCGCGCAGGCAGGCTAAATGTCATCAAAAACGTCGAGCACGATCGCGGTACCGTGAATGGCGAGTGTCACTGGAAGCGCGCCGCTCTGCTGCATGCAGCCAAGTACCGTGGAGCAGCGGAGCTGCGGAGTCGCAGTGGAACCCGGCCCTAACCAAACTTATAGCAATTTGAAAATGTTTGACAATTTTTCATAAAAAACTTGACAACATTGTTCTTCTGTAGAGTGCCGCTGGCAACTCCATCGATGAACTCCATCAATGAGCGCAGGGATAAAGTTTAGAAACCCTTCGAGCGAGAACGTGTTCTCAAAAAGGAAGCACAAATATGCCGCGTAACTTCCCCTCTAGTATGGCCCCATCAAAGCCACTCGCTGACTACTTACCAGTAAAATGGGGTTGGACGGTTGTCAGATTAGCTGACATGTTTTCTGCCAACACAACCATAAGCAGTTGTCAACTCTCAAGACTAAAAGAGCTTGCGAAGAAAGTGAGAAACCTTGGCTATGAAAGCACATGAAGCGTCAGAACATAATCGAGCAAACTTGGACCTAGATTACTAGTGTCTGCTCCAGAGCCAGGTCAGTGGCCCTGTTTGTGAGTACTTGGACCTTTTGGAAAAAGAACACTGGGTTACCTGCGACCCGGTCGGAAGTCCTGTCGAGTACTATACTTTTTTATACTTCGAGGGTATACCGCCACTGACAGGCTGCATACGCGTGCGGATGCGTGCGGCCAGAGTGCCCAGTGCGAGTACGTTCATACATGTACATGTACAATCATGTACATCAGGAAGTCGAAAGTAAGTTTACGACTCCCTGACACACAGTAGCCGCACTTGAACGCATCTGGCCCTGGCCCAGTGTTGCAGGAGTTGTGCCAGGTAGACGTGTACCCGGTTTGTGTTAAATCTTAGAGCAGGTACTGCATACCCTATCATATCTGTGTACATGGGTATACAGAGTCAGTGTTGTTGCGTCCCACTCAGCACCCTTCTGGTTCATTTCGGCACCAGCACTCTTTGCGTATGCAGAGCTGAGTAGAGTGCAAGTTCGGACCACAAGTACACTGTAGCAGCTAGATGCGAACCTAACCTGTGCCGTGATGCACGGCACTTGTGTGCATCTACTTTATCCCTGAGTAACCCACCAGGTATATGGTGCACAATAGGGCACAGTAAATAATCAGCATGCATCGCAGTTTTCTGCAACATACATGTATTCCTGAAGTCACTTTACACCTTAGAAGAATTGCGTCGCTAACTGTTAGTTATTCCCTGGGTCATTATGAATCGTAGAAAACCCGTCATACAATAGGTTCAAGCTAAAGTACCGTACCACCATGGTAATTACCTGGAAATTCGGTGTGTTTTCTACCTTTTTGTTAAACAAGCAGCAATGTGCCACAGAAATTACTAGTGTTGAAACGAATAATCGAATAATCGAATAATTTAGAATATTCGTGGGGTGAACGAATAATCGAATAGTCGTAGGAATTATCAGAAATCGAAAAAAAAAAAAAAAAAAAAAAAAAAAAACGATCTATGCTCGGTGCTGACCCTACTGATATTTGCACTGCGTAGATCTGCTCGTAGTATTTCTTCTCAATCTCTTCTCCTCCAGGTTTTAATCTCCTATCGGTATCTAGTAATACTTCTGTTCTTTCCATACGAGGGAAACATGGATGCAGTGAAGATCCAATTACATGTACACTCGACCAAGACCCTATGCAGAGCTGGATCAGGCGTTGCACACTCTGGGGGGTTATGTACTCTTGGCGGTACAGGTTAACCGGTTTTGCACCTCCACATAACAAACTCCGATAATCAGCAAAAAAATTTTAACTGCTTAAAAAGTGCTGAAAAAGTGTTGAAAAATGCCATCATGCGTATGATAGAATATAGATTATTCGTTCGATGGAGGGCGAAATTATTCGATAGATTATTCGTTCGAAGAATCCGTGTTCGGTTTAAACACTAGAAATTACCATGGTGATAGAGTAGATGACCGTGTGAAGCGGTGTGAGATGCAGCAAAGGTGAGCCTGTTACTGCGAGTCTATGCCCTTAACAATAAACTTTGCCGTGGGATGATTCTCTTTGGGCTGCACACTCTGGTTAATGTACTCTTGGTGGCAGCATTCTGGTGCCAAAGATGATATTTTTTTAGAAAAATAAGCACTAGAGAAATGGAGTGGGAGTAACCTGAATTATTCTATTAGCAGAGCTGCAATGCTTGGGATATGAGATTATTCCCGTAGCTATGCAAAAGACGCTATTCAGTTGTACTTTAGTAGCATCTGGCGCTAGCAAGTATCCACACCGCTGTAATTTAGTGTGTGTCACGGTGCCTGGTAGGGTGGTTCACGTCGCATGCCATGGTTGGTGCAGTGTCCCGTACCGTAATTCGAGTATGCGGTGCGCACCGTTGCATAGATGTATCTGGAGCGCTGTACGAGCTAAGATGTCGGGGCAAATATGGGGACATTCACAACATGCAATGTGAATATGCACGTCAGTTTCGTTTTAAGAAGTGGGTTTGACGGAGTAAGAAAAGGCCCCAGCTTTGGCTGCTGCATGCTAGCCCAGTGGGTACCAATCTCCTGCCATCGGCCGAGTGCTGATGGAACGGAGTAGAAGAAAAAGAAAGAAGAATATTGCGTTCAAGAATACAATTTCGGTAAGGGATATACAGTAAAACCTGTAACTAAAGACCACCGTCACTAGCGACCAGCCTGGTACTACCGGCCACTTCGCCAGGCACGGAAGGTCTCACATTCAAAATGCACTGTGACTAGCGACTACCTTCTGAACGCGACCAGCGACCGCCTTTTCCTGTCCCAAACACAATTTTTGACCCGTAACTAGCGACCGCGATGTAGGAAATCAAATGTTGCTCGAAGCTCCTTCTTGAAATTTTACTGATTTTCCATGGTCCTGAAAAAAATCTTTCGATACTACAGCTGAACAAATGAATGCAGGTAATTTGGGCTGTGGAGTCGGTGTGGACTGCACTACACCTGTCAAAATTTCAAGCGCTGTCAAGAAAAAGCATGATAGGAAACGTCTTGGAGAGCGCATCGAAAGCGCTTTCTGATCGATGTTACTACTCGGAGGAGAAACGAAGACTGGGCGGCTCTGTCACCCCAGTCATACAGACGGATCGACGATGGCATCAAGGAATCCAGAAACAAAGCAGCACCACAAGGTCCTGATGCTGAAGGATCGCGTTCAAGCAATCGAGAAGTCACAACAAGGACAGTCGGTATGATTGATCGCATGAACAAATTTGAAGCCCAGCGCGAAACGAAACCGTTCCCCAGGGAACGTTTGACTCCTGGCTTCAGAAGTAGCAGCTGAATTTGAAGTCTGCAAAAAATTAATCTTCTCTCTCTCTCTCTCTCTCTCTCTCTCTCTCTCTCTCTCCATCTCTCCGTCTTTCTGACATTGCGCAAGTCCTGGGGAATTGTATTAGCTGCATTTTGACATACATATCATATAATAGGGCTTGAAAGTGCTACGTCACAGCATAGCAACAATTTCAAAAATTCAAAAATTGGATCCACTTGGATCCAGTTTTTGTATGGATCCAAGCACATTTCAAGCCGTCTTACCCACAGCAAGGTGATGTTACCAGTGAAACTGACTGATTTGGCTACTGGGGGCGGGGTTACAACTGGTGGCGAAATAAAAGTCACACCTGCATGCGACATGAGTGGGTTGCTATGCACCCACATACTGAGGCAATAGCAAAGTCACACCTTAGTGGATCCAAAATAGAAATCTGATGTCAACTTAGTACTCCCTGGCCGTTTTTGACGTCATCACTTTCAAGCCCTATGGGATCCACATATGGTCACGTGGTGCAAACCTCTAACTAAAGACCACCTGCTACTAAAGACCGCTTTTGCTGGCACCAAGGGGTGGTCGGTAGCCACAGGTTTTACTGTACCGGTTAGTGGATAGCTAACTAAAATAATTAGCCGTATGGTTTAGAAATAGTGGTGGCGACTCTGGATGGCAGTCGTGAGTCCGTCAAGTGTCAAGTCGACGGAATAGCGCGAGCTCCAGTGTGGGGAGCAAACCCATTCCTAGGTTAGCATCCCCCCCCACCTCACAACAGAGCAACCGAGTTTTGGATTAAGCTGGGAGTGCCGATTCGAGCAACTGGTATGATGGCTCTGCTTGGAGCCACTAGATGGTTCGCAGCTGAGCCGGCAAATGACTCCGCTTGGAGCCGTCAAATGACTCCGCATGGAGCCACCGAATGACTTCGCATGGAGCCGCCGAATGACCCCGCATGGAGCCGCCGAATGACCCCGCATGGAGCCGCCGAATGACCCCGCATGGAGCCGCAAATTGACTCCGCATGGAGCCGCCAATGACTCCGCATGGAGCCGCCAATGAATCCGCTTGGAGCCGCCAATGACTCCGCATGGAGCCGCCAATGACTCCGCATGAAGCCGCCAATGGCTCCGCATGGAGCCGCCAATGACTCTGAGTAGAGCCGCCAATGACTCTGAGTAGAGCCTCCAAATGCTAAATATATTGGTATGCATAACCAGTTGAGAGCATATATTCCATAAATCGGCACTCCCGGAGCGGATCACAAAGTGCAGCTACCCGTGCAATCTGTAAGCGGTGCAAGCTAGGTAAAGACTGTCAGAACTTGATATCATGGGCTGAGGCCATTGCCGCAGCCACCCATACTTTGGCTGCAGGTGGCGTCCGAATGTTACTCGGGCAGACATCGCTTTCCACCTTCCCGCCTCTCTGAATATCGAGCCCCGCAGCTGATTCGAAACGAGTGGCCGGTGTACAACGCCAGGCCAAAGCCACAACTGATGAGCAATATCCTCGCAGTTGCTGTAAATGCCCATCGATTGGCATTCGCAGCTGATGCCGCTAGTTTTCCCAGGTGCTGCGGGCTGCCACAATTGCAAACAACACTTTGCGATTGCTACTCTGCTTGATTTACTGTCCATCGCCCTATCCCCGGTCGCAATTGTACGAGCACCGGCCAAGTGCACCACTTGCATCAGTGAATACCAGCAAGTCGGGGGACGGCGTTCATTTAGGGTGTAGGAAGAAGGACCGGCCGTTCCGCTAATCCAGGAGTTCAGGCCATCAGCGAAGATCTTCGAGACACTCTTTGGAGAGCTTGATCAGGTAACACGGCTGCCGGTACCAGTTGGCAAGTGACCACAATCTGCAATTTGCATCCAGGGGCTATCACTCTTGTAGCAAACGGGAGCTTTCCCAGAAGAGACTCGAGTTGACATTGGGTAGTTGAAGCTGTGTGAAGAGTGGCCCGAAGGAGATCACGAAGCTCGGCAAGTTCGTCCATAGGCATACTGATGTTAGCGCGGCGGGTGTCCAGGATGACGCCGATAAACATTAGGACGTGGGCTGGACCCTCCACTTTTGCTGACGCCAGAGAAAACACCGATGTATGTAAACGCGCGGCGCCGAGTAGCGAGTTGCTGGCGAGCTAACACAGGTCCAGAGCATGCATTGAGGAAGCACTTTTACTGACGCCAGAGAAACACCGAGGTATGTTAACGCGCGGCGCCGAGTAGCGAGTTGCTGGCGAGCTAACACAAGTTCAGAGCATGCATGGAGACAGAAACGTTAGTCGAGGTACTCCCCGTAATGGGATGATGCCAATAACGTCAGGACTTGAGCTGGACCCTCCACTTTTGCTGGGGCCAGAGAAACATCGAAGTATGTAAACGCTCGGAGCAGAATAGCGAATTGCTGGCAAGCTAACACAAGTCCAGAGCATGCACTGAGGAAGTAACGTTAGTTGAGGTATTCCCCGTAATGCAACAGGCCTGTGAGTGCGAACTGCTAGCACATAATCCATTCACTGGCGGATGCGACAGAGTTCCATATAGCTGGACTGGAGCGTAATACAGTTTGAAGGGCAGGGCACTCTCATAAAAGTATTGATCCTGCCAGCGGATCGACAAGGACCAATCCTCCGGGCGGACGGGGATTCGGCAGAATGCACTTTTAACATTGAGCTTAGCAAGATACACCGGGGCGAGCACAATTGTGGAGGAAATTGTTTGGGAACGCATGTTCCGCAAGTTGCATGCTCGAAAGTCGAAAACAGCAATGACATGCAAGAGACATTGTACAGGATCTTGGAGGGCGCATGACCATGTGACTCGCGCATGCGTGCAGGTCGGGCCAGCTCGCTGGGCTGCCTGCTAACTTGCGTTAGCATGCTAACGCTCATTATGGTTTAGATCGCATTATTGTAATGGTCGCGGTTTGATTTCAAAAGACCAAAGAACGTGTCGTACTATCGGTCGAAAGTTTAGGGGTGTGGTACTAATGGGCTGGGAATGTAAGGATCGGGTAGATTGCAGTGTTTTAATGGTCGTAGTTGTTGTATAAATAGAATGCTGAGATAATTAGAAGAGGACTATGAGGAAGAGCAAAATGACAGGGGTGACAGTGTTAAAGCTCTGAGCAGACGGCGTCGGCAGGAGTGCCTACACAGAGAGTAGAAGAAGGGAGAAGAGAGGTCCTGCCGCCTCGAGAGTCGCCGTGCTTGCGAAAGGCTATGCCAACAGCAAGAAGCGACGGAGCAAATATCCCGTCGTTTGGAGACTCACCGCCTTCGTGACAAGACGCGTTGACAGCTAGAGACCGCTGCACAGGCATCCATTCAGCAGGAGAAAATACATGCTCTCATGCTCGAGCTTGTTCGGTGTGCGGGGCCATCATTATGTTACGCACCAGCCTGGCCCTATTCCGTTGATGTTCCGT